TAAATTGTGTAATAAGAGATGAGTGTGGTTTGCAAGATGATGCGGTGACCAGGATTAAGAAAGGAATGCTTCGGTGGTTTGGTCATGTAGAAAGAATGAATGCGGAAAGACTGACAAAGCAAATATATGTTGCAGAAGTGAATGGAAGAGTCGGAAAGGGACGTCCTAGGCGGAAGTTTGTCGACCAAATTGGCGATATACTAAAAATGGGCCAAATTAAGAGTACCCTTAACCGACGAGCATGTATGCGTAGGTGTATGGATGTGAAGGAGGCGAGAGAGGTGTGTCAGGATCGTGCCAAATGGAAGTCTGTAGTCTCTGCCTACCCCTCTGGGTGACAGGCGTGAGTGTTTATAGCATTATATTATATGTATAGGGATCGTCAGGGTAGGTGGACGCTTGTCCAACTCGCAGTTGAGTTTCGACCAACGGCACCCTATAGTTTTACCGCGTAAAGACCATATCATGAATTTATTAGTTGATTACCATCGGAAATGGCGGAACTTGGGTCTTGTCGAGTAATACAATCCGTAAAGCCCTTTACGCACACCGGGTCTGATTTTGCTGGTCCGTTTAAGGTCACGCTCACTCGCGGGCGTGGTATAAGATCCACAAAAGCCTTAAATCTGCATTTTCGTATGTCCAACTACTCGAGCGGTGCATATAGAACTCGTTGGTGATCTAAGCACAGCAGGCTTTATGGGTGCGTTTAAAAGATTTCTTTCCCGCCGTGACCTTGTAAGTAAATTGTATTCGGATAACGGTATGAACTACGTCGGTGCAAAACGTATTTTTTCAGAACTACATGAGCTCTTAGCTAGCAAGTATTATAACTCGGAGTTCGCTCACATTCTAGCCGAGAACCGCATCGAGTGGTCTCTGAACATCCCAGCCGCGAGTCATTTTGGGGGCAATTGGGAGACTAATATTAAGAGTCTAAAGAGTCACTTATACCCAGTAATGGAGATCAAATTTTGTCCTTCGAAGAGCTAAGTACTGTGCTCGCTCAAATTGAGTGCGTAATGAATAGTCGCCCACTTTGTCGTACGTTATCTAGTGACCCCTCGGAGCCGCTGGTTCTAACTCCAGCACATTTTTTGAATTTAACGCCTTTGAAATATTTGCCGGCCGTAGATATGGACGAGAACAAACTTAGCATTTCCGCACGCCATAAATTATTAGACCGATTAGTGCAATCGTTTTGGAAACGATGGAGGATGGAATACTTGCATACTTTGCAGTCTCGGCAAAAATGAAACACAGCAACTGAACCTTACGCTTTAGAATACGCCGCCTCTCCATTGGCCATTAGGGATTGTCGAAGAGGTTTTTCCCGGTTCCGACGGAGTAATTAGGGTAGCTCGCGTTAAGACCACGGTTGGATCTTACATGCGTCCTGTTGTCCGTTTGTGCCCCTTGCCTCTTCCATAGTTTAAGTTAGCTTTCTGGATTAGAAATTGTAGTCGAAATTCAGGTTTAATATTAGCGTTAGTTAGTTATATTGTTAGTTGATCTTAGCTTTAGTTGTTTTAGTTATTTTTTGACGGAAATCCTTCAAGCCGGGGGGGGATGGTTGCGCGGAAAACCATTCGTAATTTTATTTTATTCGACGGTATGCTTGCCAAGATCTGTCCTTCATTCGACCTTTCCTTCACTTATTGTCCCTTTCGACACACGGGGGTTTTAGGGTGGTCGGGGAAAAAAGATAGTTCTATAATGTCACGTGATCTTCGCAACCGAACTAATATAAACGCGCGCGCGGCCAACGCGCGATCTCTTCCCTTCGCGCTCTTCGTTGGAACCACACCGCCTGTGGGAATGCATTAACGAAAGCTTCATATAATTGTTTTCTATAAGAAGTTCTATTTGTATTTAGTTGAGTTATCTGGTTATACAGTCTCATTAAAGTCTCATTTCGTTTCTTTGTCCATTTCAAATTTTAGTTCGCGTTACACACAAGTTATGTGTTTCTAAAATTTCTTGTTGTGTTTCTTGAGTGGTTGGGAGTCTAGCATGATGATTTAACTCTTCTCTAACTTCTTTATAAATCTGATCTATAGTTTTTTGTGATATCAGTTTATTGCGGACTATAGCTCTACGTTGGTCTCCTACTCTTTGACGGCTTACTTGCATATTTGGGTATTTCTCTATAAATTTCTGATGTAGTGGTTCAAGGTAAGTTTTGATATCAGTATCAAGGAAAGTTAGCTGAAGATAAGTGCGCAGTATAAATACATTCATTTCATGTGGCGATAAACGCCTGCGCGTTTTAGGAACGCCGCTAGTGGGTGCAAGCTCGGAGTCATTAATGACATGTTGCACAACACTGTCGGTCCTATTTGGTGAAGACAAGTTGGATGTTTCACTTGTCAGATACTCGGAGGGATTGAAATCGATAGATGATGTTCTTGGTGTGGTATCACCGCTTGAAGATTCAGATGTAGCATCAACACCAAAAGCCCGCTTGTTCAACTCACGGCGCCCAGCTGTAGCATTTTGTGTCTCGCCACCTGTGTCCCGCGAACTGTAGCACCCAGCACCGGCTCCAGGTGCGCCCCGGCGACCCCCGGGCAGCGGCCGTAAATTATACATCTTTTGTGGACTGTGCTCCATTAGTGGGTTTGTGTTGGGAATGATTATTTCAGAGAGGGAGTTGGTCCAGATGTTATTGGTATTAAATGTTTGGTATCTCCCGCTTGGGGTATTAAATCAAAATCTTCAGATCTAGTACTAGTGTCTGCTCTCTTTAAGCCCCCCCCCCCCACCCACCGCGACAAGATTAACTCCCTTGGGGGGGTTATTATTATTATTATTATTATTATTATATAAAGTGTGTTTTTTAGAAATTTGAAAAGGTTGCATAGAAGTACTGGGAGGCAGCGATAAATTCTGAGAAGGATTGACCGAAGGATGTTTCTGAGGAAGGCTTTCAAGAGTTTCGACATTACGAGGAGCGAGGATGTCGTCTGAGAATAGAATACGGGATGCATTTTTTAAGTCGCCATCCATTACTTTCGATTCAACTCCTTTTTTTAAATCAAATTTAGGACAAGGTCGAGATAAATGAGTATTAATTGGGTAATCTAAATTTTGAAAATACACATACATAAACATAAACACTCACGCCTATTACCCAGAGGGGTAGGCAGAGACTACGGACTTCCATTTGGCACGATCCTGACATACCTCTTTCGCCTCCTTTACATCCATAAATCTACGCATACATGCTCGTCGGTTAAGGGTACTTCTAACGTGGCCCATTTTCAAATTTTGAAAATAGTTGAAATACAGTTGATTTATTTATTGTTTTATAAAATAGGGCTACATGATAGGGTGATAAGCAAGCACACAGTCCATCTGATGGTAAGTGGTTGCTGCGGCCCTTAGACATTTATATCAATCCTCGATTATGAATCGACCTCGATTAAAAAATGCAGATAAATTGTCAATCGTGAGGACTAAGATGGAATGCCTCGATTCCAGTAAAAAAGGTTTCCAGTTCTCTACACTCACCATACGAAACACAGCAGCATTAAGGTTAAGGCTTTTACGCTGGTATTATATATATATATATATATATATATATATATATATATATATATATATATATATATATATGTATATATATAGTAAACTTTACGTTACTTATATATATTATAAATGTACCATATATAAATGTAGATTATATTGTAAGTCTATTCATTTATTTAAAACTGGTTGAAAAAATATCACTGTCTTAACCCAGCACTCCAGAAAGATCATTTTTATAAAATATACAGTAACATTATACAATTACTACGGATCAGTAAGCTACAGTGGCAATAGACCGACCATATCACTCGTATCATATCACCCATGGGGATGAAAAGGTTTTTTATAGTATAGGGTGACAAACGAGCACACAGTCCACCTGATGGTAAGTGGTTGCTGTGGCCCATAGACATCTACATCTATCCTCAAATACGAATCAAAATGCAGATAAGTTGTCACCCGTGAGGACTAAGATGGAATGCCTCGTTTCCAGCAAAACAGGTCTCCGAGCAACGTTAATCCATTTTACGCCGGTATTATGTGAGAGCGTAGCCCTCCCCCGGTCGAGCCGATCCATTCGTGCTACAAAGTGAAGTGAAGCATGGCTCTACCATGTATAAAAAGTTCTCGACTGGTAGCCTCGTACCGGTAAACGAACCCATTAGATGGAGTAACGACCTGGTAAACGATACAGGAATTCGATGAATAAAGATAACTCAGAACCGTACTTTGAGCCATTCCCTGAAAGAAGTCTAAGTTCAGCAGGGTCCATAAAGGCTGTGATGATGATAATTACAGGAAGAAAATCACAAATTAGCAAACAATTTCTGTATTCAAATTTTAGTTCGAGGTGGGAACCTAGGACCGGCGACATATGGCGATAAGGCATAGACACAATTATTTTTGATATAATATGCTACAACACTTCTTATAGCAACGCCAAACCACTTTTCGGTTCTTTAGTCAAAAAGACTGAGTTTGATGTAATTTTTATAAAATTGTAAAATTTATTTCTAATGCGTTTATAGTTTGGGTACAGTAACATATTAAAAAAGGAGCACATGTCACTAGGAAGTTCTCTTATATATAATGTAGAAGATGGTGCACCAGCACAAAGTGAAATTTTCTTTTTCTATTATTTTCTAGTCCCTTTGACAAGTACTCACAACTTAAGAAAAGAAAGACGGCCATTAATTTCCTAATTAAAAAATAAATGCCGAGAGATGTGTTTTTCTGTATTATTTAATTAAATAAGTACTCGCGTTAGTGAAAATAAGTTATTTCATTATAATAATAAAATGATCATACTAAAATAATTATAAATCTTGTTTTCGTAACATTTCATAAATCAATGCCAATTAATTTTCGACACTGATTAAAATGAAAATAATTAGTGATATGGTATGTTATAAATTAAATTATATTCACAAATGACAATTTCTATTTGAAAACCTATTTTTATCTTAATATTAATAAAGGAAAATTGTGCCATCGGAATGGTTTTCCACTTTGATTGTAGGAGGCGGAGGGTCCCTCTCCAGAAGATATTTCCTGAGTTCGATGAGACCGACATTTGCGAGTGAGCAGAAAACAGCAGGCAACAGCATCCTGGAAATAAAGATATTTTGTTTAATATACAGGTTGTACGGTAAGTAATTAATAAAGCCGCAGTTACTAGTGTGTGTCATTTTGGCCACTCAGAAAAAAAAACAAATAAAAAATATCTGTAGCAGTCTGAAAAAAAAAACCTTTTTTAAAAGCATTTTTTTATAGAATGGGTTGACAAACGAGCATACAGTCCACCTGATGATAGGTAGATGCTGTGGCCCATAGATATCTACATTTATCTTCGATTAAGAATCAAAATTCAAATGCATTGTCATCTCTGAGGACTAAGATGGGATTACTCGTTTCCAGTAAAAAGAGTTCCCGGTTCTCTACGCTCATCATACGAAACACAGCCGCATTAAGCCGCTATTTTACGTTAGTATTCTGTGAGAGCGTGGCCCTACCCGGTCGAGCCGACCCATTCGTACTACAACCATAATATAGCTGCCGCGTGGCTCTATCACTTAAAATACCTCCGTTAACATTATTGTGTACTACGGCTACAAATTTATTAACAACCAATTGATTTTCTCTGTGAATAACCGTGAATATTTTGGCGTTGCTTTTTGTTTGTTTTTTTTTTCAAATACTTAAAAATAAAAATTGGAATTTAACATTTTACAACGACAAATTTTGAGCACCTTAAAAAACTTACAGTGACCGGAGTGGCCAATAGCTTGAAAAACATGCCTACTTTATGCAGATTTTAATACGGCATTAAACTCGGTTTTTTGTTGTCAAATTACTGAGTTATTTAATGATTTTTTATGTTTACGCGAACACTACAAATTAATTAAAACTACTTTTATAAATTTTATCGCGTTTAAATTAAATGATTAATTCCCGATTTTCTGCGTGGTGACTGAGGTGACTGACGTCCCGATGTCAATATTAACCCGAAGTACCGTCAGCTTTTTAATTATTATTTATGGTCCGAACTACGCAGAATGAACTAACTGTGTCTTGATGTCATGCAGTGGTATGCTTGAGTGTAGTTTTTATTTTGTTAATTTATTTAAAAATTACGTCCGGACGTCAGTCACCTCAGTCCCCGGTGATCATTGGTGCTGGAAAGCACCCCAAACGATAATTAAAATTAAACGCGATGAAATCGTAACAGTATTTTTAATTACCGAGTTATTTCTATTTACATTCTGGAAGCATGATTTTCATAAAGTGTAATATTCATTAAATTTACAAAAGCAACTTGCAATAAATTACATTTAGATTTAGAATTTTATTCTAATTGTGTTCTTATGTTGACGTGAATTTGACAAGGGAATAAAACTATTATTTACGGATTTTATCGCGTAATTTATTTTTATTATTATCCCGACGTTTCGGGTGCTTTACAGCAACCATGGTCACGGGGGTGGACTGAGATGTTTGACGTCCCAATGTCATTGTTAGCCCTACCTTCAGTTTTTGTATATTAATTTTTGGTCCGATTTACGCAAAACGAACTTACAGTATCTTGAAGTCTTGCAGTCTTGAAGTATGCAGTCTTGGGTTTGAGTTTAATTTTGTTAATTATAGGATCCCAAGCAGATGGCAGCACCCAACCATCTTCTCTTTTGAAATTAGGATGTTTTTTAATTTCAATAGCCTCACGTATCATCCTTGGTAGGAATCGGTGTTCTTTTGCGAGGACTTGTGGTTTATCAAATCTAATGTAATGTGGACGATCCTGAATATGTTCACAGACTGCAGACTTCCCGGAGCGTCGGTGCTTCACGTCAGCTATATGTTCTTTCACGCGGGTTTTTATGGATCTTTTTGTTTGACCTATGTCAAAAAGATCCATAAAAACCATAAAGTAAATTTAAGAAATCATTAATTTGACAAGGGATTAATTACTTATTTCGGTTCTCATGGCTTATCGTCGAATTACGACCATTAGGCATTCCTAATGACCCCATCGACACGTGTGGATATCACTCAAATGCTGATCCAGCAAAATATGCAAAATGCCTGCGTTTATTAGGATTTCTATGAATGGAACTGAAAGAGACAAGTGCGGTTGGTCGGCATGGCATACCCACTAGTATATTAAAAACACACAAAGTCTAGTATCACCACTAACTCCTATTTTCCGAATTTGCTTCTCTGAAAGATTTTTTCCAGGCCGTTTTAAAAAAGCAATTGTAGTTCTAGTAATTAAATCGGGGGACAAAAGAAACGTTTCCAAATATCGGCCTATGTATCTCAATATTTTCATCTACGTATAAAATATTAGAAAAATTAATTAACAAAAGATATTATCGAATATGCAATATGTTTTCAGGCCAAAACTGTCCAATACTGATGCTGTGCAAGAAACGACCGATTACGCCTCTCAATAGTTATATAAAGGCAACCAATCAATTGGCATTTTTCGTGACCTAGCAATTGTTTTTGACACATTTTCTATTCTCATACTATTAAATAAGCTAGAGAGCATTAAAATTCGAGGTAAACTGCTTCAAATTTTTGCGAACTATATATAAAATTGGTATTAATGCACAAAAATCGAAAAGATTGTTAGATCTGAACAAAAAATACTCATTTTGGCGTGCCTCAAGGAAATTGTGTATTAGGGCCAACCCTATTTTTATTTATTTATTTGACCTTTGCAATATCGAACTTAACTCAGGTAAAATAATACCATAGCAGAAAATACAGTGCTCCTTTTTTCCGCAAATACAGTAGACAAGGTTTATTTACGTGCACAGCAAGGTTTTGATAGAGTTAATAAATGGCTCCAACAAAACATATTAACACTAAATACGGACAAAACCAAATATATTCATTTTTTCAATGTTGGTTAGTCGCAGTCTAAATATAACTGCCCAATTATATTAATTACAAAAACTAAGTATTAAATATCTCGGAATAATAATAAATTCTACGTTTACATTTAAAAACCACATAAACCACCTATGCAATAGAGTCCGTAAACTAATGTTTGTTTTTAAAAAGATTCGTTTTAGCTGATATTAAGGTAGTTAAGTTGTAAATATTTCACATTATGTCAATCAATTCTCACCTATTGTATAACATGGGCAGGAGCAGCTAACTCTACTACACTGCTACCACTGGAACGCGTATAAAGAACTGTATTAAAAGTTGCAACATTCTACCATATCATATTCCCGTCATATATTTTATATAAATCCTATAATGTCCTCTCAGTGTGCCAGTTATTCGTTATGAGTACGTTACTAAAACAGCACTTAAAATTGTCCTACAGAAGATAGGTCTGATAACTGAAACTAACATAAGAATAAGGCATTCTTTCATGCATAGATTTTTACATTCCTTGGCCCTTTTCTGTATAATCCACTCAGTCCAAGTCCAAGTCCAACTCAGTTTTTATATAATCGGACATGGTAACAAAATTTGTCATACGATGATACGGAAAAGTCACTGGATTATTTTAAGTTAATTAATATCATAAGTAAATTAATGATAATATATTTTACCTAAATAACCCTATCTAGTTAGTATATTATTCATTTTATATAAGAAACAGAAAATATTTGTTAATGTATCTTTTAGCACATACACCTGAGATACAGGTTTATTCTAAGTCAGGTGCCTGTTATTGTAGATTATTTTAAATGGAGACATTATTTGTATTAACTATACAGTTTATTGAGATTAAAATTATCATTATTAAAAAATATTATTACACCCCCTACCACCCACAGATACACTTCTACAGATTTCCAAAACAAATGTCTTGTTTTTTAATATTTTTTTTATTTAAAAAAATAAGACTAAAGAAACATAGATAGCAGTAACTGAATAATTTAACAACAAACAAATTTAGTTTACTACCGTTTTATAATTTGCATGTAAAGCTAAAAGTAAAGTTACAGCCTATATACGTCCCACTGCTGGGCACAGGCCTCCCCTCATTTCTGAGAGGGTTTTAGGGCAAGGAAGTGTCCGCCGCGCTGCCCCAATGCGTGTTGGCGAACTTCACATGTCTTTGAAATATTTTTTTTTCTTATTCCTCAGACATGCAGGTTTCCTCACGATGTTTTCCTTCACCGCCGAGCACGTGGTAAATCAGCACTTAAAATTGCAATTAACAATTTCATTGGTGCCGGCGGGGATCGAACCCGGGTTACTCGCGTTCTGTTATATTTACAGCGAGCGTTAACCATCTGAGCTACCACGACTTAATGAATTTGCATGAAATATACATATTTTTAGGAGTAAGTTTTTGTGCACCCTGGTCACCATACTTTTTATTCATAACTCAGGTGCTCAAACTTTGTAAAAAAAAAATAAAGTCATAGCTAGAAATATTTTTAATCCACGATGGCAAGGCCAAACATTTTTTTTTTCTTTTCTTTTTTAAAAATACGTTACCCCTACACTAAGATTTTCTCTTGTATCGTGGGGGCAGTTTACAAACATAAATTGCACAGGGACAAACATCCAGACCCGGAACAACTATTTGTAGGCCATACAAATACTTGTTCCGTGCGGGATTCGAAACCGCGACCCCCAGCGCAGCCACTCATTGCTAAGCCACTGCGCCACGGAGTCGTCGTCAGGCCAAACATTCACTATTAATTCCAGAGAAATACAAATTGGTTATTAGTAAATTTGTAGGCGTAGTACTCAAAAATGTGAACGGAGGTATAGAATTCCATACCTTTAAATTTTTTTCCAGACTGCTCCAGATATATTTTTATTCTGAGTAGACGATGCGCTCCCCACTAGTACCTGCGGTGTTATCCAACTTACCGAACACTCTGTATATAAAATGGAAGTGACACACGAACCTACAGTCTACCTACTAGTGAGTGTCTGCTGCAGGCCACGAACACCCGCAGACAACTTCAAACAAAAAAGCCATAGATGTGTCGTTTTCTCTGAGGATTAAAATGCTTCACAACCTGTAATAATACTCAGCTCTATTCCCTTCTGACCTACACTTATGAATAGCAGTACAAGCACTGCTATTTAGCAGCAAAATGGTGGTGTCATTGCCATTTTTACCATTACTGTCTATCAATAGGCTGAAATATGTTAAACGTAGGCCTCTCACAGATTATCTTATAGGGTGGTATTTGCCATAGTTGCCACGCTAGGCTAACAGGTAAGCAATTGCAGTATTTCGTTTTTATTTAGCTGTTATCAGGACAAAGCTACTGTCCATCTCCCGGTGCATTTTCGCTCTGCTGCCTCTCATGACTTGGGGTAGTAGATATTTTTATAACGCCTTTACTCGGTAGTTATATCACCATTAAAATAATTTTGTCTCGTGGGCATCGAAAAAGTCAACTATGGGATTTGCTATAAAGCTTTTAAGGATAAGGCTTACGATAGATGGCGGTATAACCATCTTCTTTACAAACATAAAATACCAATACCGGCGACTGGCAGTTGCATCGAAGGTGCGAGACTTCTGTTACTGCAATCGTGTGATCTCTTTGGTCTAGTGGTCGTAGGTGCGACTGATGATCTTAAAGTCCCGGGATATAATCGCGAGTCGAGTCAAGGTTGGTTATTGGGTTTTTCTGACAGAAGATTCTCAGTAGCAGCCAGGAGTTAAGTGGTTGGTCCTTCACCTGATCTCTCTTCGGTCGTGTCGTATTACCCATCGGAATATGAAAGTGATGGAATGGAGAGTGCATCTGTGCTTGCATATACACGAGAACTACTATCCCGCGCAGATGGCAATTAACCATAGAGTCTGGCTGCCGTGACCAAAATTCGGTATGGAGTACATTATACTGCAATCGGTAATATCCATCACGATAATTAAGACAAACCTTACCTACAACGGAAGAGGCCTGATTTCAGCAGTGAACGCTAGAAGGCTGATAAAGAAAAATAATATATAGTTCACTTTTGAGAGTAACAAAGACTCTTATTAGGACCTATTTAAATTTATGCTTACCAATAAGAGTACCCTAGTCCAGGTGATGGCACAAACAATCCCGCGGCGATGTAAGAAATAGCCAGGTGCTGGTTTAAGCCAGATGTTGCCCAGTATATTCCAAATAGCATCAGTACTACTGTACCACATAAAGCTGTCACTACGTTCGTCCAAAGACAACCTGGAAAACATGTACAAGGATAACAAATAAAGATCCGAACATAACATCTTAGTTAAATCATCCTAAAAACTCAACATGTGACATTTAATTTTTGTACCCTTTCTGTATTAATGTGTACCTATATGTCGTAATTATATTTACATGTTAGTATTTATATGTTGTTTAATTATATTATTATTTATATTTATATGTTGCAAGTTTGTTGTATAATATTTTTCAATATAATCTTATGTACGTCTATTTAATATATATATCGGAGTCATGGTAGCTCTGTTGGATAGCGCTCGTTGTAAATTTCACAGTACGCGAGTAACCCGGGTTCGATCTCCACCGGCACCAATGAAGTTGTTAATTGCAAATTTTATATGCTGATTTACCACGTGCTTGGTGGCGGAAGAAAACATTGAGAGGAAACCTGCACGTTTAAGAAATAAGAAAAAAATATTTCGAAGACATGTGAAGTTCACCAACACGAATTTGGGCAGTGCGGCGGACACTTACTTGCCCTAAAACCCTCTCAGAAATGAGGGAAGACCTAAGCAGAGTAAGTTTTCCCATCGCCTTATTTCATCCACTGGAATAATTATCTCGTTTACGCCAGACATAAAATAACCAGACTGGAGACAGGTTGTGGCATAAAATATATTGAACTTTAGACGGATACAGAAGAAGAAAAAGACTCACCAGGTAATCCAAACACAGGTTCAGTGGGGTTCTTCGTAGCATTAATAACTGCTAATGCAGCGGCTACCACAGCAAAAGCAAGTTGAAAGAACAGCATCGCAGCAACACTCACGTACACGGCGAATGATACCACAGCAGGACCGTCCACTGAAAATATAAATCATAATCTTCATTTACTTTGAAGTCTCCGCGGCGTAGTGCCTAAGCAATGACCTGCAGCGCTAAGGGCCGCGGGTTCAAATATCTCACGGAACAAGTATTTCTATGGCCTGGCCTACAAATAATCATTCCATGTTTAGATGTTTGTCCTCGTGAAATTTATTTATGTAAACTTTCCCCACGATACAGGAGAAATTCCTAATGTGGAGGAAACTTAAGCTTACCACAAGTGATTAAGGGGAATATTAGGAATGTTCATAGCATTGTTATTATTCTTTAAAAAAAACTTTTTTAAAAACTTAAAACTGCAGTTATATTAGTAGTATAGTTGTAGCATGAAATGGGTCGGCTCGACCAGGAAAGGACCACGCTCTCACAGAATACTAGCGTAAAATAGTAGCTTAAAACTGCTATGTTTCGTATGGTGAGTGTAGAGAACCAGAGACCCCTTTTTACCGGAAACGATGCATTCCATCTTAGTCCTCAGGGGTGACAAGGCATCTGCATTTCAATTTGTAATCGAGGATAGATGTAGATGTCTATGGGCCGCAGCAACCCCTTACCATCAGGTGGACTGTGTGCTCGTTTGTCAATACAATACGAAATACTTGCTGTGTTTTGTATTGTTTACGTCATTAAACTATTATTTTACGCTGGTATTCTGATATGCAGGAATGCCTTATTTTAAGTAAAAAGATTCTGCGATGCTCTGCACCCACAATACAAAACACCTGCTGTGCTTCTTATTGTTTTCGTCATTAAATTTCTATTTTACGCTGGTATTCTGTGAGTGTTATCCTTTTCCAGTCGAGCTGACCTATTCGTGCTGCATTCATTATAAAGCTGCAGCGTAGTTCTACCACGCCTAATAACAAATACTCCTTATAAAGAAGAAAGCCCATGTCCTGCAGTGGAATTCTACGGGCCGACAGAAAACGTAGAAAAATATATACAGAATGTCCCAGAAGTCAAGTCAAGTCAGTCAAAAATCTTACTATGTAAATCTACACCCTGTGACGGTCTTTTAACTACTGTTGCTACAAGTTTTAACTTTTTGTAATTTTCTTTTTACTATGTAATCCTGAATACTGCTCCTGAAAAGTGTTAAAAGTGTACTGTACAAGTTTGGCAAGTAATTTTAAAAGTTGGCGCATTTAATAAGAATTCGAAAATGGTATAACACTTGCAAGATTATTTGTTAAATTATGATTTTTTTTATTTTTTAACGAAACCCAGTTTCAAATTATTTTTTCTTACCTGTCTAAAAAGATTTTTTGTGTACCCTAAGGCTTTTCTCAAGTCCGTTACTCAAGATTCTAGTTTCGAGTGAAACGTAGGTAACCAGATGAAGTGTGAGCGAGACAAGAATCTTCTATAGGCTGTAACTTTACTTTTATGGAACATTTACAGCAAATGATCAAACTTTCTTCCTTTATTCGCAATGCAATGCAAAAAAGGATCGAGCTATCAGACAAGTGAATCTACCATTATTTACAAAATCAGAAAATGTTTTTGAAGTCGATTAAAAATGTCAATCATCTCTAATTATTAACAAGTTTTTTACAGGCTTTTATTATTGGCTTCGTTATCTATCTATCTATCTATATTACGAAATATTTTAATGTAATTTTCACCAACTTGTAGACGGCCGATTGACTTGAAAATTTGCAATACGACAATTAAATAATTTAAGAACTTTATCCTAGTATGCTGATCAGGATCACCAGGATGATACTCTTTACAATCATCACAGCTCACTGATGAATGCGTATTTTTTAGGTTTTCTTAAATGTTTATGTTTTGTACATATACTCTATTATTTTTAGTTATCTCAATATCAATCGAAAGCAATTTGTTTGCGTTCTTTAAAATTATAAGGACGAGTAAATATATTTTTTATCTTTTTATTATACTATTTTGAATCTTTTTTACGAATTTACTTGTATAATAATAGCAATGGGCTGTCAAGGGCTGGAAGTCCAAAGTTAAAACTTTTCGTTCAATTGAAGCTGTTTAAAACTCTTAGCAACCCCAAAAAAATTTTGAGCCCTTTACAGCACCCATGGTCATAGGGGGACTCCCCCCGTGCTGTAATTGGGTGACCAAGTTAAATATACGCGATAAAATCCGTAAAAACTAGTAATATTTACATGCGTAGTATTCGCGTAAATATAAGAAATCATTATGTACTCGTAAATGCGATTGATAATTTCATCGCAAGGCTCGATGGTGACGGTTGGTGGATCACTCCTAGTAAATACTTATGTATAATATTTACTTACATGGATTCGCTGTGTCTATATTAGTGACCGAGACACATGCTTGATTCGGTCGCAAACCTTCAGCCAGTGCTCTAACCTGTCAGGCAATACATGTTATTATTGCTTATAGCTACGCCACTATATTTGTCACTTATTGTAATTACATACATATGCCAGTAATTACTACGAGTATGAGATTCGTCGTAAGTTGACGTTGAAACGGATATCAATTTACGTACAAGAGACATTTCAAATTTTCAACGTTTATGTTATAAAACCAAACACTCAGGATATGTATATATGATATGATATTAAAGTTGTAGCACGAATGAGTAAGCTCGAACAGGGAAGGATCATGACCTCACAGAATACCTATTACCTACCTACTAATATAATACGTATAGTGAGTGATAACGGGATATCCTCTTCACTGGTAACGAGATTTTTCAGACCTTAGTGGTGACAGCTCATCTGAATTTTGATTCTTAATCGAGAAAAGATCTAGATGTCTATGGGTGACAACATACAATTACTATCAGGGGAATCGTTTGCTCTTTAGTTACCTTTATTCTTTAGAAAAATTGGTAAAATTCTATGAATAATTAGGGTATGTTCCGAAATACAACCCACACGAAATACACTGGCCAATGTAAATGACGTCACAAATCGACGCCATACTGGTGATTCGTTATATCGATATGGTTGAATATGGCTTCAATTAATGACATTTGCATTAGCCTGTATACTGAAAACATTTCGGAAAATACTACCTAGTAACATTGAACTCAGTGGAAAAGCGTGCTTAGAGGTTCACTGGTGTCTTTCTATAAAAACCATTATTTCAACCTCTAGTGCAGGTGCAAGATTGCCAGTCTCTCGATATTATATAGGATACACTCCAGAGAATGTGTGTTGCAGCTACATACAAATTTCTGTCTTGCCTTTTCACATTTGTACAACCTTCGTTGGTGAGTCTTCATTCCTGTATTTTTGATATTCTAAGCATTCGAATGAAACTATTTGCTTCATCTTTTGTAATACGCATAGCATAATAGTAGAATTGCGGTCACCTGGCTTTCTGACCAATTGCAATCTTACCCATATCTTCCAGGCAAGTGTAAGAGTAGGTTTTTGTTACACTGAAACAGCCTGATCTACCATCTAGGGCTACATCACCACTTACTACCAGGTAAGATTGTAATCATGCATTGGATTATATTAAATAAACTATTAATTTGCTTTTCTTCCCGTATTAGTATATTATAAAGACAATAAACCAGACTTCGGGTCGATCGGGTGGCGTGACCTTATCCATTACAGCCTATAAAAGTCCACTGGCCTAGGCCAACTCAGAGGTTGCCTTATTATGATTTTGCCATAGCTTGGAAAGCGGTTTGGCAACCGCAGATTTTTTTTATTATTTTGAGTTATTATAAGAAACATGCCTGCTGTCCATCACCTATTTAAGTTTTACTCTACCGCCTTTTACGACACTCAAGAAATGATATGGGGAAGTCGATATTCTTACACCGCCACTAAACATTTAACCTTGTCAAGTAGACAATAAAGTCCAATTTGTCCGCTCCGCGTACGAGGAGTATAATATATAAAATCGGCATTTTTAATAATCCATTCAATATTTTAAAATATCTACCTACCTCATCTTGTCTCGCTTGCACTTCTGTCTTGCAGCTCACAGCACACGCATTTATATCGGAAAGACAAGTCACTGAAACAATACGAAAACTAATTAATTCAATTATTCAATCAATTTGACGGCTCCGTGACGCAGTGGCTTAGCAATAGTTTACAGTGCTAAGGGCCGCTGGTTTGAATCTCACAAGAAATAAGTATATTATAGTTGTCCTTTACTTACTGTTACTTATGTTGGTCCTTGTGAAACGTCACCACGATACAGAAGATAACCCCAGTGTGGATGTGGACATTTTTTTAAAATAAAAAGTATTCATTCAGCCTTAAAATGTACAGTACTAGATCTACATAGGTCTCCTCTATATATAAGGTGAGCTGCATGCTTGTTTGCCCACTCTTATATAAAAAATATAAAGGGATATCTTTTATAGCACAAAGGTAACAAATGAGTACACAGTTACCCGGTGGTATATAGAGTGTGTGATCTAAAACATCTACAGATGTATCATCGCTTAAGAATCAAAATGCAGATGTGTTGTCACCCCTGAGAACTTAGATAAAGTACTTCGTTTCCAGTTAAAAGGGTCTCTTACGTAACACAGCAGAATAAAGCCGCTATTTAACGCTGTTATTCTGTGAGGACGTGGTCCTTTCGCGGTCGAGCAGACCCATTCGATAAGCCATGCAGCCTTTATAACAATATGTTAGATAGCTAGATAGATAACACTTTTTAACAGTGGTAGAGCCACGCGGCAGCTTTGCAGTTGCACGTATGGGCCGGCTCAAACCGGGGTGGTACCACGACCACACAGAATACCGGCGTGAAGTGGAAGCTCTGCTTCCGCGTTTCGTCTGGTGAGTGCAGGTGGCCGGAGGCCCAAATCCCCCCCCCCCCATCAACATGGTAGCGGAATTAAATAATGATAGACTACCCCAGGAGGGTACCAGCACCCCTGGAGAATCGCTCGCTGAGCATCCACGACCATGTTTCTCCACTTCTGAGCGTGGGTGCTCAGGCTGCCCCGCGTATTCTGGGGGGGAGGGCAAAATTCCGCTCAAGACTACAACTGCTCGGGGCAAACGGAGCAACAAGACCAAGGCGACCCCTGCCACGCTGTCCGTGAATTTCTGCAATATCAGGGGACTTCACTCTAACCTAAACGCCGTCCACTACCATCTCGAGACGGCGAGGCCGGCTCTGCTCTTCCTGACCAAGACGCAGGTGTCCTCTCCGGCTGATGTTTCGTATCTTTCCTACCCGGGGTACAAACTGGAACACTCCTTTGTGCCTCGAGCTGGAGTTTGCGTTTACGTCAGAGAGGACATCTGTTCTCGATGCCTCGGCAGACTTGAAGGTTCGGACCTGTCCATCCTTTGGCTACGCGTAGACAGCAACGACCATCCGCGCGTCTACGGGTGCCTCTACAGGTCCCATTGCGATAATGCCGAAACAGACAGACTCTTCGACCATGTCCAAATGGCTAAAGATTCGTTGCTACAGCAGATCCCCTCCGCAGAGATCGTGATCCTCGGCGACTTTAACGCCCATCACGCCGTATGGCTTGGTTCACGTTTAACCGGTCTTGCGGGGAGATCTGTTCATGATTTTGCCTTGGCATATGGTCTGACACAACTGGTTACTTTACCTACGCGGATTCCAGATGTGGAGGATCATGCACCTTCCTTGTTGGACCTTCTGCTGACCTCTCACCCGGACGGATATCAGATTTTCGTCGAAGCCCCTTTAGGCTCCTCGGACCATTGTCTTGTCCGTAGTGTGGTGCCACTCACGCTGAAATCGCAGTTGCATTCTGCAGGCTGCCGCCGTCTTTGGCACTATAGGTCAGCCGATTGGGATGGGATGCGGTCTTTCTTTGCATCCTACCCTTGGGGGCGGGTTTGCTTGTCGCCGGACGATCCCATCGTTGTTGCGGATTCTGTCGTTGATGTGGTACTTCAGGGTATGAAACTTTTTATTCCTTCCTCTGTGGTGCGCATTGGAGGCAAATCTCAGCCATGGTTTGGTCGCTCCTATAAAATAGCATCATGCTATAAGCAGGAGTGCTACCGAGCCTGGGCTGACGCATCAGCGTCCCGGGATGTAAACACCAGCGCAATAAAAAAGAAGTATAATTCCGCCTCTAGGTCCTTCAGAAGAGTCATTGCCAAGGCAAAGTCAGAGCATATAGGCAGAATTGGCGAGAAACTAGTTCGCCTTCCTTCTGGAACCCGTGCATTCTGGTCTCTCGCCAAGGCTGTCCAGGGGAATTTCTGTCAGCCATCTCTTCCATCTCTGCACAGGGAGGACGACTCACTGGCCCATACCGCAAAGGAGAAAGCCGATCTTCTTGCTCTTTATTTGCGTCCAACTCGACTCTCGATGACGAGGGGAGTACGCCGCCGCCCATCCCGCGGTGTGAGTGCTCCATGCCGGAAGTGCAGGTCACACAGCGCTCGGTTCGCAAAGCACTCCTCTCCCTGGACATTCACAAGTCGAGTGGGCCTGACGGAATCCCCCCAATTGTGCTGATGACGTGTGCTCCTGAGTTAGCACCGGTTTTAACGAGTCTTTTCCGGTACTCCTACACCCTAGGCGTAGCCCCAAAATCATGGAAGACGGCTTTCGTCCACCCGATCCCTAAAAAAGGCGACCGCTCAGACCCGTCCAACTACCGGCCAATCGCCATCACCTCCTTGTTCTCCAAAACAATGGAGTCCATTGTAAACTATCAGCTCATGAGGTACCTTGAGGATCACCAGCTGATTAGTGACCGCCAATACGGTTTTCGCCGTGGTTGGTCAGCTGGTGATCTTCTGGTCTACCTAACTCATAGATGGGCGGAGGCAGTAGAGTCCAAGGGGGAGGCATTGGCCGTTAGTTTGGACATTGCGAAGGCCTTCGATCGGGTTTGGCACAAAGCGCTTCTTTCGAAGCTCCCTTCCTATGGGCTTCCCGAGAAATTGTGCTATTGGATCACCAGCCTTCTTGCAGATCGGAGCATCAAGGTCGTTGTAGACGGTGCAAGCTCCGATTGCAAGCCTATTAATGCTGGTGTTCCACAAGGCTGCGTGCTATCGCCAACGGTGTTTCTTCTGCATATCAATGATATGTTGCAAACCCGTAACATTCATTGCTATGCAGATGACAGCACTGGTGATGCTCTTTACACCGGCCGAGCCAATATTTCTCGGGAAAACGTCTCTGAGTGCCGGGACAAACTTGTGTCTGAAGTCGAGTCTTTGCTGAACAGAGTCTCGGATTGGGGGTGACTAAATCTAGTCCAATTTAACCCCCAGAAGACACAAGTTTGCGCGTTAACCGCTAAAAAGAACCCCTTTGACGTATCTCCTCAGTTTCAAGGCACTCCCCTTGTTGCCTCAGCCAGTATTGGAATCCTCGGCGCTGACATATCGAGTGACGTACAGTTTCGTGGTCACTTGGAAGAGAAGGCCAAATTGGCCTCTAAAAAGCTTGGCGTGTTCAGCAGAGCGGGACAGTATTTCATGCCGACACACCGCCTGCGACTTTACAAGGCGCAGGTTCGGCCGCACATGGAATACTGTTCCCATCTCTGGGCTGGGGCTCCCCAGTACCAACTACTTCCACTTGACCGCATCCAGCGCAGAGCGGCTGGAATCGTCGACGACCGAGTGATTTCCGATCGGCTCGATTCGCTGGCACTGCGAAGAGATGTTGCATCTCTTTGCATTTTATTTCGCATATACCATGGAGAGTGCTCTGAGGAATTGTTCGGATTAATCCCAGCTGCCAAATTTCGTGAACGCACTACGCGGCAAACGTCCCGATACCATCCACACCATCTGGATGCTTGGCGGTCCACCACAGTAAGTTTCAAAAGGAGTTTTTTTCCGCGTACAATCTCTCTGTGGAATAGTTTACCACCGGCGATTTTTCCGGACCGATACGACCTAGGGACCTTCAAGAAAAGAGCTTACTCCTTTCTAAAGGGCCGGCAACGCACCTGCAATTCCCCTGGTGTTGCGGTTGATCATGGGCGGCGGTAGTCACTTAACATCAGGTGAGCCGCATGCTCGTTTGCCCCCTCTTCTATTAAAAAAAACTTTATAGCACGCCATAAAAAACAGAAATATTAACAAAAAACGGTGAGAAAGAAATGTGGGCAGTCTCATCGCTTAGAGCGATCTCTTCCAGACAACCTTTAGATGGACAAGATTGCAAGAAAACAATAAAAACATTATGTGCGGTTGGTTTCGTGACAATAATAAAATTATTTTTATTATAAACTATAAAATAGAAATAAAGATGCATAATATAGATAGATACACAAGTACATAGGTAAGATATATACAATATATATATATATATATATATATATATATATATATATATATATATTTTATAAACATAAATACGTAAAAGTACAAATATACATATATTTTGAACTATTACATATAACATAAATATGCCATACATATAAAAATAATGTAGCTAGATAAAGGTAGAATAATTATATACATAATTATGAATTTAATAGAATCAAAGTTGTACTATCAAATTCGTAATTACTGTTAGTGTTTGTTTGTACATAAGTATATGTTTCTTAAAAACCGGTAGGGATTGAGCGCGTTTTGCTGATGACGGCAAGTCATTCCATAATCGGACAGCTTGTATTGTGAATGATCTGTCCAAAAATTTGATAGTGTGAGCTGGTATTTTTAATATCAAATTTTCTGATGATTTTAAATGTCTCAAATGTCAATCCTGGATGAATTCAAACCGACTTTTTAGGTACCTAATTAGGATAGAAAGGATTAAAAATAACATTATAAAGAAGCGCGAGAATATGAGTATTCCGACGAATGCGAATTGGCAACCACTTGAGCCTGTGACGAAAATCTGACAGATGATCATATTTACGCAAACCAAATATAAATCTCATACAAAATTTTTATAGTCGCACAAGTTTATCAAGTTACATTTCAGTGAGATCAATATAGCTGACATCTGCATAATCGAGGATTGGATGCAGAAGAGTTTGCGCAAGCGCAATCTTTTTGGTTGGTTGGTAAAAAGTTTCGTAGTCTTCTCAAAAAATGAGCAGCTACAAAAAGTTTACGACTAACTTCCTGTAACTGAGGACCCCAAGTTAAACTCTTATCATTTAATTTATCGCTATGTATGATTATAGCAACGTTATCATTAATTTTTTTTTCTCTACTGGTAATTCTTGTTGACAATAGTTACTAATTATTGAAATATTTGGGAATAATAACAAAAGTATAACAACTCGTAGCACGTATAAAGAATAGAATTTCGGTTTTGACGCTCGGCTGGTAGCCACCCCTTTCTGTCGACATACGGTTTGCATCGAAGTTCATAATACCGTCAAAGTATTGTAATAATTTTCCAAATGCTGCCTTTCTACCCTCTTACAATAAGTATCTAAAAGGCAAGAGTGAATAAGCTTTTGTTAAAATACGTCAGTGCGCTATACCATCTTTGACTGCATTACCACCTACCATTAGGAAGGATGGTAGTCGAGCACTAGCTTATAATAGTTAAAACAGTTAGAGGGAACAGAAATAGTTAAAACACAGTTCGCCTCTCACCTCTCAATCTTTGGTCCGGACCGCAAGGTTTGTGCAATACGCACTTTGCAGGTTGTGCGTTTTGAATGCATGCGATTTAACGCACAAGCATTCGACGGTGCTCTGCTTAAAACCGTCTTGTAATACGGTGTGTTGGTACGAAGACGTTACCTAACTCCACGCAGTTGTCAAGCGAATCTGTACGTAGTTTTTTTCTTCGAAGATCCTTCATAGATAAAGGTAAATGTGTCGGCGCAACGAGTGCTGGAACTGTTTGATTTTGCGTATTTTTTTCATTAAGTAAAAATAAAAACAAATTCGAAAAAGGTGATCTCAACATGATCTTTTTTATAGGAGAGAGGGCAAACGAGCAAGCGGCTTGCCTAATGGTGACCAATGCACCACCCACACAGGCCTTTTAAAAAAGAGTAAGCTCCGCAAAAATTTCTGGTGGTAGTCAATTCCATAAGGAGGCTGTGCGACGAAGGAAACTTCTTCTAAATCGCAGAGTGGTGGACTGCCAATCATCCAGATGGTATGGAAGATTTTCGATAAAACTAATAAGCATTTTTCAATGTTAAGCCCTTCCATTTAATAAAACTTTCACGCGGTTTATGGAATCTCTGCAATTACATACAGATTTAAAAGAAATTTAGTGTTATTTTTATGAATTAATTTATCTAGCCAATTACTGTGATTTGCGTTTCTGACTTCATCATCTTTGACATTCATTCTTTGACATCTTTTGTTAGTATATTTTTTTTAATATTTAGTTTTACGCAATAATTACATTTCAGTAGCTTTGCTGAAGAGGTTCAAAAAAAAGAAGGGTTGCACTCCGGGAGTGCCGGCAGAAGTGAAAACTTGAATATTAACGTTGTGCATTTTTGATATTTTGGAATGATTAGGGAATAATTTTGCACGAATTGCTTTAATTAAAACAACACGAACATTCGCGCAAGCACCCTGCTCCGCCTAAACGAAACAGCAGGCGCAGACATACATTTTCGCCGCGCCGTAGAAAGAGAGGGGGATACTTCCTCTCCTACGCCGCGCCGGCTGTCTCTCTCTCTCTCCATCCGTCTTACGAATTTTCAATCAGGGTCACGTGTCCTGACGCAAGTTTAACATTTTTTTACCCATTACAAAAAAGTGTACAACGCCGCTAAAGAAGTTTTCACTTTAAAAAAAATTACAAAGTTGCCTTAAGTGGAGTGCACTTCATCCAACTGTGGTAGAAATTCTCTTCCAAACAATAAACTCACTATACAGGGTGTTATAGGAAGGGGTGCCGAGATTGCGCAACGCCAACTCCCCCCTGAACAAGCCATATCGAATGTCACTATCTTGAACTTGGTTCTCAGCGGTCGCGGTCGATACTATCTGAAACAAAGTGAGCATGTCACGAAACGGTAACAGCTATTCTGTATTTGAAGACATTTTATTATATTATACTAATATAAATACCTACCATACTTGCTTTAAAGACAAGACTTTTTTATTTATTTTAATTTTAAAAAGAATATTAACAATGCAAAATTACTAATATACCCCTTAATCACTCGTGGTAAGCTTAAATTGCTTGTGTTACGAGTGGTTCACGCCAGTAGTCGAACGGCAGATTCGAACCCACGACCTTTATGAGTTTGCGGTCCGCACCCTGCCATTAGGCTATTGTCGCTTTTTTTACTTTTTTTTGTTTGCTTTTTTTTTTGAAATAGCAATTGTATTTCGGATAATTGAAATAAAATCAAACTGGTTATCGTGTAGCTTCAGATATTTCTCTAATAAATATGCAAGCAGACCATCAAGCACTTTGGCAGCAATCGTGGCTAGCGACATATGTCTATAGTTATTTTTGTCACTTAAATCACCGGTTTTATTTTTCACAACTGGCACCACCACAATTTTGGTCATTTCAGGGTGCAAGTACGAATTTCCTATACATAGTGTGTAGAACATTGCTAATGCTCTCGGTAGGTGAGGCCCGGTAAATCGTATGTGCTCAATGCAGAGGCATTTAGACCCAGCTTCATATTTATACCGCGGTGGTCCCAATGATGACTTCACAGAAAAGCAATCTCTAAACATATTAGCTATAAGTTTCGTTTCATTTATAGCACCTACACTCACAGGGAGACTGGGATTACTTGTTAACTTATTAAGGGACTTCCAAAAGGTACGAAAATTGTGTTTTGAATGTAGTGACGCGATTATGTCCATTTTTAACTGTTCTACATGGTTCTGACACCATTTTAAACGAGATAAGAAAATTTTACGGCTTTCATTCATCTCATCATACACAATAACCGATTTAGGCTTCTCATACCACACCGCCGCGACTTAATTTCAAACCTTACCCGACCATTTAAATACATTACATAAATCTGTTAGTTCCTTATATAAATAACTCAGGAAGGATGAGCATTAAAGTCACCAAGTGTATAAATTGATTGAATATTGTCACTACTTACAATAGCACTTACAAAACTGAGACTGTCCGTAAATTCTGTAAGGTTGTCCAATTTATCAGTCGGCATGTAGATACTAAACACAAGGAATGATATTGGAAACTTTTATCGCACATATTCGCGAATTATCGCATTTCACGACAGAGACATTTTGAAAGACACCCCTGTTCCAAAATAGCGCTTCTTCTCCATATGATAGTTATCTCTTTTTACTTTTCGTAATATTTCTATCAATGATATTGTCAAATTAAATAAATATAAATGTCAAAAAAAAACGATTACATTATATTTATTTATACATTTATATTTATTTTAATTATTTAATTTTGCTAAAGGCGTCGTTAACCTTTTATAGAATTGTTAAAAAACCAAATATGCATTATGAAACTTGCCAATTAGATGGTGTAAGAAGCGAAAAAACTAATAACAAGAAAAATCTATTCATAACAATATTTCCCGTAGATGATTAATCACGGACGCTAGTATCACCGGAGACTTTTATACAGCACATCTACGTTTTAGTACATTGTGTGCACAAATACAAACACACTTTATTTCCTAATCTTTATAGTTTGATGGGGATGGGAAGGCAATTCGGAACGAGGTACACTTACAAACTATGTTATCAATTGTGATTGCTTACATTCTATTTGTTCAATAAAAACGTGATTTTATTTATATTATTTTTTCAGAGGGGAAATGGGAATAAGTGAAATTACTTGGGAATGAAGAGCTGACAGATGTACCAGTTGAAAAGCTTCATAATATGTTAAAACATTTGTGACATACATTTGCAAAAACAATATATATGCATTACTAAAAGTCATTTGTAAATACCTACCTGATTATATGTCTCAGCTTTTCTCCAATAAAACCACTACAACTCACTTAGTTAACTGTTTAACCACTATGTTCGTGTTTAATTTCACTCTTAAATTGTATATAATACTTTATAACACACTATACTTTACTTTCACAAAGAAGATTATATATTAATTTAACTTTACTCACAACCTTTAGAATCGCCTTATTTCACAATAGACTTGACTATTATAACCTTCTCAGCACCACTGTTCGTAATCAACTGCCGCGAGCGTCAAGTGTACGCGCTTTTATATTGTGACTCAATCTAGAATTAATGTATGTAGTTTGAAATAGATTTATATTAATATTAATTGTGAAGATTGCTAAGTAATATGGCATAATGATCGTTTATCTAACATATGTATTTACTGTTGTAAACGATCTCTGCGAATAGTATGTATCTCTGTGAAGAAGCCTAGCGATTTGTACATAGTATTTGTTACAATTAAAAGCAAATGAATCCAATCAAAGTTAAGAGAAACCAATATTTTTGCCCTTTCAAAAAAATTAATGCTAAAAACAATCATTCAGACACAGACTATTTATTCTACAGCATAGAAACCTTTGTTCAGTGCGAGAACGAATCCTCGGCCCTGCAGTGCTGCAGCCAAATGCTTAACCACTACGCTACGGAGTGGTCATTTATTTTTTACTTAATTAATTACTAATATAATGGTGCGTTGTTAATTTTATACATATTTTTCTACCTATTAATTGTAGAAATATAATCACAAATTGCTGTTTGTATGTGTGTGTGTTAAATGCTAAGAATCTCCGGTGGAGGTTCGGTTGCCACCTACGACGACTCGACCTGGCAACATATAACGCACGCACTCTGAGGACTGACGAGAAGATACTGGAGCTGGAAGAAGAGGTAGACAAGTTGCGCTGGCATATTATTGGATTATCCGAGGTCCGAAGAGAGGGGGAGGATACGGCAATCCTCGAGTCCGGCAACTTGTTCTACCACCGGGAGGGCGACCATCTGTCCCAAGGAGGTGTCGGATTTATCGTCCACAAGTCTCTCGTCAACAACGTTGTAAAGATTGGGAGTGTGTCGACGAGGGTCGCGTACCTGATACTCAGAATCACCAAACGGTATTCGCTGAAGGTCATACAGGTTTACGCACCAACCTCGGCACATCCCGATGAGGAGGTGGAGGAAATGTATGAGGATATTTCCAGAGCCATGCATTCCTCCAAAACCCACTACACGGTGTTGATGGGAGACTTCAACGCAAAACTAGGCACAAGAGAAAGCGGTGAGCTGAAGGTAGGGAAATTTGGAGTAGGGCAACGGAACCGAAGGGGCCAGCAGCTGGCCGACTTTATGGAGAAAGAGGGACTCTTTATGATGAACTCTTTCTTCCAGAAGCGGCCCCACAGGAAGTGGACCTGGTCGAGCCCCGACGGTTCGACAAAAAATGAGATTGACTTCATTATGACGACCAGAGGCCAACTCTTCAGTGATGTCTCAGTGATCGCAAGGGTGAAAACTGGCAGCGATCACCGAATGGTTAGAGGCACACTGAACCTAAATGTTAAGTTGGAGAGGTCTCGTCTAATAAAGTCAACGCTCCGTCCCCCTCGTGCTCTAATCCAGAATCCCGAAACCTTTCAGCTCGAGTTACAAAACCGCTTTCAGTGCCTAGAGGATTGCAATGCAGTGGACGATATGAATGACAAGCTCGTGGAAACTGACCGTGCGGTCGGAGCTAAGTTCTGCAAGACCCGCCGCAGAAGAACACAAAAACTCTCCGATCACACTCTTAATCTCATGGCTGTTAGACGGGAGATGAGGCTGCAATCGTCAACAGACAGAACAGTGAGTAACGATCCAAGAGCATGTCTCATCCGACACTATTCCGATGATAACCCGGACGTCAGTCTGAGCGAGATTAGAATGGCTCTCCACCACCTTAAAAACGGCAAGGCCCCGAGCGAGGATGGAATTATAGCGGAGCTTCTGAAAGCGGGTGGAACACCGGTACTTGAAGTCCTTCAGAAGCTCTTCAATTCCGTCCTCCATGGTGGCACTACTCCGGAGGCGTGGAGCAGAAGTGCGGTGGTCTTGTTCTTTAAGAAAGGCGACAACGCTCTCTTGAAGAACTACAGACCGATTTCCCTTCTGAGCCGCGTCTACGTGCTGTTTTCGAGAGTCATTACGAATCGTCTCGCACGCAGACTCGACGACTTCCAGCCTACCGAACAAGCCGGTTTCCGAAAAGGCTTCAGTACCATAGACCACATACATACCCTTCGGCAAATTGTGCAGAAGTCCGAAGAGTACAATCTGCCACTTTGCCTGGCGTATGTGGACTATGAGAAAGCCTTTGATTCCGTCGAAATTTGGGCGGTGCTACAGTCTCTTCAGCGGTGCCTAGTTGACTGTCGGTATATTGAAGTGCTGAAGTGTTTGTACAGTATGGCTACGATGGCTATCCGAGTACAGAACCAGAGTACGAAACCTATTCAACTGCAGAGAGGTATAAGACAGGGTGATGTTATATCCCCGAAACTCTTCACCGCTGCGTTGGAAGACGTTTTCAAGCTACTGGACTGGAAAGGATACGGTATTAACATCAATGGCGAGTACATCACTCACCTTCGATTTGCCGACGATATAGTCCTTATGGCAGAATCGCTGGAGGACTTTAGCACTATGTTCAATGACCTCAATGGTGTCTCCCAACGGATAGGTCTTAAGATGAACATGGACAAAACAAAGATCATGTTTAATGTCCATGTCACACCTATGCCGGTATTTGTTGGGAGCACTATGCTCGAAGTTGTTGACGAGTACGTTTACCTGGGACAAATAGTCCGACTAGGTAAGTCCAACTTCGACCGAGAGGTCAATCGACGGATTCAACTCTGCTGGGCAGCGTTCGGGAAATTACGACACATCTTCTCGTCAGGTATACCTCAATCTCTGAAAACTAAAGTGTACAACCAGTTTGTGTTGCCAGTGATGACTTACGGATCAGAGACGTGGTCCTTCACTGCTGGCCGTATGAGGACGCTCAAGGTCGCTCAGCGAGCTATGGAGAGGGCTATGCTCGGAGT